GAGCTTTGGGTCAGGGGAAAATTGGGTTTGAATCCCAACAGTACCAGTGGCTTTACCCTGGGCAACTTACCTAACTAGTCAGAGCCTGTTTCCTGCAGTGTAAATTAGGAATAACAGTATCTGACTTGGAGGACTGATGTGACAAGTAAATGGGAAGTGTGTGAAGGAATTCAAGGGGCTGGCAAATATAGCCATAAAAGGTAAATGCCACTATTATTGATATTCAGGCAGGTAACCACTGTTTAATTTCAGACTCAAATAATTTTCAGCCCTTTTTCAAAATGGCTTTTAAAGTGCCCAAACTGCTCTTTATCCAAATGGAGGATCTGCTGATATGTGCCCAACTACAGAAACAACCATTCATATGGTTAGTACTTATTATGTGGGCCAAAACACGAATATGCACATAAACACGTACCAAAAGAATACCTTTACTTATAAGCCTGTAGCATGTATCAGTTAATCATCTAAGAAGTTTTATGGTCATAAAAAGTCCTTATAGAAGCCAAAATATAACAAAGAACAGTTGGGAGTGCTTCACTTTTTGCAAAATCTTTATATTTCATATACCAATATATCACTATTTATTAATTTGGACAATTTAGGGTCTTGTATTGAGGTTTTGTTCTAAGTCCTATTAAATTATATGGGAAAAGATCACAAATAATTCCTTTTAGCAATGTACCATTTTTTACAAACACAGATTAAAGTTGTTATTTTTCTTCTTTTATTTGTTACATCAACATGCCTACTGATTGTCTAACTGGTCCTCCCTGACCTCATGGGTCTTCCGATCAAATAGGCCAGATAGCCACAGACAATTAAATACAGAAAGTGAAGTGATGGGATCAGAAACATTGCTATTTACAGAAGCCTGAGGTGGATGAGGACAGAGCTCTGGTAAAGGTCTTGTGTGACCTGAGCCTCCAAAGATAAACACAGTTAGCTAGGCTTAAAGACTAGGAAGAAACTAAAGACAACCAGTATTTTTCTAGATTAAGTTCCCCCACCTCAAAAAAAATCAACACACCAATCAAATTTAACATTTTTTTAGCTCATTTGGAAAGGGGTCTTGCAGTGAAAAATCTATTCAGTTTACAATGATCCAATGATAGTCCAAATAGTTAATCACTCACATCAATGGAGAAAATACAGAAAGAATTCAAATGACTACATAAGCAGGCAGAAAGTGGTAGGTTTTTGGTGTGTGGAAGACAAGGTAATGCACAGGAAGGAGAAAACTTTAAATACTTAAAATGTACTTTAAGCCTGGTAGGCTCTCAATACAACAAAGCAAGAAGACCTAGGAGTTTTTACAGAGGTCCTCTCCCTCTGCAACTTTGCCTGTGCAACTTCAGCAAAAAGACCAACAAACCAATGGACTTCATTAAGGATTGGATTGGAAATGATAGAATACACTATCTTGCCCTTAACAAAAACATGGTCTATCAAAACCAAAGTACTGTGTACAATTCTAAACACTAGTTCAGAGGCAGTAGGGTATAGTGATTAACAGATATGTTCAAGTCCAACTTTCTGCCACTTACCATGTCACAGTTCCTTCATGTGTAAAATGGAAGTAGGAATACCTACGTCAGAGTTGTTCTACATCTACAGTTAACTGAAAAAACCTGTAATTTTTTAGCATAGTACCCAACATGTAAGAGAGTTCCCCAAAATGGTAGCTATCATTATTACTACAAAGCAAGAAGTAATCTCCCAGAGAAAAGCCATTAAAATATTAAGAAACATTCTCAAACTTTGATATGCATTAAAATCACCTCAAGGGCTTGTTGAAAATGCAGATTCCTGGAACCCATTCCTCCCAGAGATTAATTCTACAGTTCTAAAGTAGAATGTAACCACGCTCTGGCCCAAACATCAAGAATTACTGAAGTAAGAGAATCAAGGCACTGTCCTATTAAAAAAAAAAAAAAAAAAAAAGACTCAAAACTAGGATTCTTCTATATAAAGGGCTTATCTAAACTGACAGTATCTTCAAGAGGAATACAGACATGTTCAGCAAGTTCATTCATTCAACTAACATTCATTAAGTACCTACTAGGCAGAGAATAGGAAAACATCCCCAGGATCCCAATTTTCACAGTTTAACTTCTAGCATAGGAAACAGAATATTAAAAAAAATAGGGAAATTCCAGATAGTGCAAAATGTTATGAATAAAATAAAAGAAAATGGAGAGAGAACTGGGGAGAAATTTCCTCAAAGAAACATCTGAAACCTGAATGACATGATGGAGTCACCCATAGCAAGATCTGGGAGAATACTGAAGCCACAGGGTACAGCAAGCTCAAATGCCCTAAGGCAGGAACAAGCCTAGCAAGTTCCCAGCTTGTCCTAGTGGGTCTAGAACACAGGAACAGACATGGTCAGGCCCTAGGGTACTAATCTAGGCAGAGCAATACAAGGTGAGTTAAGGGAAGGAGGCTGTTCCAGAACACGTCGTTTGTATTTTATTCTGAATGTGAGGAAAGGCTCTCCAAAAACAAGGCAACATAATTTACACTTTAAAGGATCTCTGGGCTGTGGTAAGGGGAATTACCATAAAAAGCCAAAGTGGAGGCAGGGAGGTCAGGAGGTTACTACAGTAGGCCAGATATGGTGAAAGGTGACAAAGGTAGAGGCGGTAGCGATGGGTAGTAATGGCCAAATTTAGAATATAAACACTCCAATTAAGGTAAGTCAAAGAAAAAAGAACTAAGTCACAAAATAAGTAGTAAGCATCTGGGACTAATTACCCAAGAGATACAGAATAAAAATAGACTTAAAGGTTCTAGGTAAGTTCACAACTAACAGATGTAAATAGGTTATTAGTATACTTAGGATACTTCCTAGACAGTACTTATCTTTTGAAGCTGAGGTGAAGGGAACATTTCCTTCTCTTTTGGCACCACCAAGAAGGCACTGGGCTAAACGGGCATACATCCAAGACTCTTCAGTGTGATTCATAAAGGCAAATCTTTCAGGACCTCACTAACGGAGGCCTGGACAGCTGGTCAGCATTTGGAGCACAGTGTAGCTATGGAACAGAACTAAAGCTTTACCTGAATCAAATCACTAAATTAGTAAAACTCTTTTAAACTACCTGTTATCAACTTAGGGTATTTTGTGCCTGCTCTCCCAAGGGTTAAACAAGAAAACCTTCCACGGCTACACAATGCATATTAACTTCTTCATATTATCATAAAAGTTTGGGAGGAAAGGTTTGGCAAATATACAGTGAATATACCCTAAAAGATAGGTTCCAAAAGTCCGTATCTATTAAAATATAAATTTTGTTACTCCAAAGTACTACTATGAGAAAAAGCAAGGTTACAGAAAAGCATATGCAGTTATGATACCATTTTTGAATAAAATGTCTAACTGCAAAAAAGAAGTCTGGAAGGATATAAACCACTAACATTTTGGTCATCTCTGGATGGCAGGATTATCAATGACTTATTTTCTTGTTTATTAATTGTAATAATTCTCCAATTATTACAAATTATTGCATATAAGCAAAAATATTCAGTTACAGGTTACATAAAAGGTAAAAAAAAAAAAAGAACTTCAAGAAAACAATTTCATTTTTCTAAATCAGCAGGATTCCAACTGTGGTATTAAGAAAAAAGATCTCAATTGCACATATAGGAGAAAGAAATTCGTTAAGAAGTGATCCATGTTATACCACTCAAGGATACACCCTTCAAGGGAGTAGCCTAAATTCCTAAGTACTCTTTCTAGATTTCATAAGGGGCAATCAATTAGCACATACGTGTTTTCTCCTTTCTTGCCATTTACCAAAGAAACACCTCAATCAGTTTTCTGGGGACCAAACAACAACAACAAAATCTTCTTTTTTTAAACACCAACTGAGGGCAAAAAGGAGGTTTGGTCCTCTTGTCTCTGTGCTGTCGAGGGGCGCAGAGGGTGGCAGGGTTTGAAGCAGCCTACACTAGAAGAATCTGCGTGGCCGGCCACCTGAAGTCAAAGAGAACACAAGCTTTCTGCAACCTCCACTGAATAGGGTCTAAAGACTAAAACACCTGAAAGGTCTTCCACCGTCCTTACACCTCAAGTTATCGTGCATGTAGAGCTGGCAACGGTTTACAACAATAACACACAAAAACTGGAAGGTCTCTTCAACAAACGCAGATATTACGTGCGTGAGGCTCATCCGGCTCTCCATGCAAAACCAAGACATTCTAATAAGGCCGAATCTTCGATTCGGCAAACTAGGACAAGTGAAAACATCCTATCGACTTTCTACAGCTAACAAACATCATCTTGGCTAAAATCCTAACACACACAGAAACAGCCACTTTGGAAAACTTTGGCTTTAAACGGCAACACTGGACTTCAGGTACTCCGGTAACCAGTTTATCGCACATTATCTATCTTTATAAAGGGTAATACCTCTTTACCGTCAGCTCCAGTTCTACTAACTGAACAAACAGAAAAAAGGAATACTTTAAACTCCCACCACAATAAGAGCTAAAAAAGCTCCCGCTTTCTGGATGGCAGCTTTCCTGGCTCATCAATCACAACAAAGGACGCATTCTAATGACTTCATCAAACCTAGAGAAATAGAGGTAAATGACAGAGTGTAGGTTTCAGGGTTTGTGGGTTTTTCCTTTCAGCTACGATTCTCTTCTTTTTACTCCATTATACGCCTCCACCCGAGCTGACGGTCTTGCCCTAAAAATAAAACCACCCGTGGCTACCGTCCACTTTCCTGCCAAGCCCCGACTCTGGTTTCCTGCAGAGAGAGCCAAATTGCAGGTTCTCTGCCTCGCTCTTCGCCGGGGGGCGCGGACTCGGCAGCAGCGGGCTTCTCCCGGTGCAGAGTCACCAGCCCGGCCGAAGAACCACCAAGCCTGAGAAGCCAGCCCCGCTCTGCCGCAGCCGCCGCAGTTCCCCAGAGCCTGAGGAACCCCCAAGAAAAACAGGGTGACGGGAGGGTGGGCCGGCAAACGGCGGTGGTAGAGGGGGAGACACTCACCCGCCCAGACAACAACCGACGGGGCGGGGAGGATGGGGGCCGGGACCCAGGCTCGGCAGAAAAACCGCCTGAAGCTTCCGGAACGCTGCGGCTGCTCGGGACGCCGCGGCCGCTGCTGCTCCTGGCCGCTGACTTCCTCCCCTCCTCTGTTTTGATTCGACTGACCACGTCACTCTAAGCCACGAGACCCGGATCTGCCGGCTCCCGCGGGCGGCGGCGCAACAGATTGCAGCGACTCGAGACGCCAGCAGCCCACCTGCGGAGCATGCGCGCACCCCGCGCCTGCCCAGTGCGTTGGAGGAGGCGGGGCGGGCGCGAGCGACACGCTATTCGTGGGGGCGCACGGCGCGGGGGTTGCAGTTCCGGTTGGGAGGGGTGGGGCCGAGCGCTGTGAAGTGAGGAGGGCGAGGCCCCGGTTTGTTTGACCAGCGTAGCCTCTGTTTTGTGTTTGGTGGACAACGTCCTTTGCTGTGCGCTTCCCTTTGTCTGAGCTGGTGGCTTTCTCTGACCCGAATCCTTAGAATTGCGAGGGTAGAAGTACAGGTGGGCTCAAGTTCACGGGTGCTGAGAAAGGGTACCTCTGTAGAGATTTTTATTTTTTTTATCACTCAGGCCCGAGTGAAAATTAGGAGATGAGTATTTAGTCTGATGCACAAAAGTATGTCAGATGTAGCAGTTATTGATCTTCTTTACCCTCCCTTAATGTTTTTGCACCCGGAAAGCTGTCTAAAATTAAGCTTAGAAAAAGAGAATATGTCAGCATCGATGACTTGCGGGTCGGGAGACAGTGAACAGGGAGGGGGTAAGCATTGTTGGGTGGCACCCCTAAGCTTTAATTGCAGGAATGCTATTAGGGGAGTAAGAACCCTAGTTATTTTTGGACCAAGTTGGTGCTTCCTGCTCTCCCATTCTGGCCTTAGTCTACCAGCTAAACCTTTGGGGCCCCGGAAATTTCCCAATTTGGCAAAACTTACATCTACTCTATTGTTTCTTAGGCCCAGGAATTAACAAACTTTAATTAGAACAGGACCAGTGGCAAGTAAAAGTGTAAGTTCCAAACAAAGATTTCACAAAGGCAGATCCTCTCTGCCTATCCTCCAGAAGCGGTGAAAACTCCCAAGAAACTGTCTTCCTTACCCTGATTTAGTGACCTTAATGAATTTCTACCCAGCTACTTAGTAAATCATTTCAACTGATTGAGTCACCTTTAGCAAATTAGTACTATAATCTGAAAGATATTTTTCATGTGTAAATCTTTACACAGCTGAAGATTTCTAAATAATTTAAGGTTTCTGGTAAAAAAAAAAAAAGTGTTTACTAGTTAATTAACAGATTACAAGTAAATAGAAGTCAAACTTCTTGGCCCTTAATCTGATATCTTGAACTCTACTCAAATTTAGAGAGCTTGAGGTGGAATCTAAGGCCCTAATGAAGTTCATGTTGCTATAGCAAAGGATCTTGAATTTGTGGAACTTTAATTTGTGGAACAAAGTCTTTGGGCGCCTGGGTGGCTCAGTTGGTTAAGGTTGAACATCCGATTTTGTCTCAGGTCATGATCTCACTGCTTATGGGTTGGAGCCCTGCATGGGGCTCTGTGCTGACAGCTTGGAGCCTGGAACCTGCTTCAGGTTCTGTGTCTCCCTCACTCTCTGCCCCTCCCCTGCTCTCTCTCTCTCAAATATAAATAAACATTTAAAAAAAAAGAAAGTCTTATATGCTTGAGTGCACTCCTGTGCACAGATGTGTTTGCAAACACAGCTGTGTTTATTTTTTTTTTTAATTTTTTTTCAACGTTTATTTATTTTTGGGACAAAGAGAGACAGAGCATGAACGGGCGAGGGGCAGAGAGAGAGGGAGACACAGAATCGGAAACAGGCTCCAGGCTCTGAGCCATCAGCCCAGAGCCCGACGCGGGGCTCGAACTCACGGACCGCGAGATCGTGACCTGGCTGAAGTCGGACGCTTAACCAACTGCGCCACCCAGGCGCCCCAACACAGCTGTGTTTAAAACAACAGTATGTCACAACTAGAATCATATGGGTTGTTGCAAAATTATCAATATTTGCTTTAATAAAGTAAACTACAGGAAAAATCAAGATGTTAGGACCCTTGGTAGGTAGCTTCCAAGGTAAACTCCAATGATTCTCACCTCTGTAAATGTAGTCAGCCTCCAGCACTTTTGATTCAGGACTAAGCTGATCCATAGAATACAGCTGAAGGCATGTGACTTCTGAGGCTAGGTCATAAAGGCACTGATTGCAGCTTTCCACCTCATTCTTTTGGTTTGTGTGCCATAGGGGAAGCTAGTCTACACACCACTCCACTCAAGCACCTCTATGAAGGGAACATGTGAAGAGGAACAAAAGCCTCCATCGACAACCACACCAACTTACCAGCCATGTGAGTGAGCTACTTTGGGCTGATCTTGTAACCCTAGTCAAGCATTGGATGACTGCATCCTTGTCCAGCATCTGTTTGTAATCTCATGAGATAGAAAGGGCCAGCTTTACCCACAAACAGTGATTCGGGATCTTATATGGTTGTTTGCCCAGTCATAAAGTTCAACCTTTCTAAACTTTAAACAATAGGAAAAAAAAGTGCATGTGTAATTCTATATGTAATTTGAAGAATAACATAGAATCCTAACACAGTACATGGAACATAGTAGATACTGAATAAATATTTGTTGAATGGCCCATAAAAGACATACCCCTTGGAAAATACTGGAAATAAATATTGATAAGGGAGTAACACCATAATATATGAAGGACTCATACAAATTAATAAGGAAGATATTACTTGTCTCCAGTACTTGTGTAGGTGTAGAGTATGAACTGATGGCTTACACACAAATGGAGATACAAACAACTAATATTTGAAAATCTTCAATCTCATCAAAAATGCAAATTAAAGTAAGCTTTCCTTTTTTAACTACTACCTTATGAGACTTTTTTTTTTAAGGTTTTTTATGTCTCAGTAATCTCTACACCCAACGTGGGACTTGAACTCACAACAACCCTAAGATCAAGAGTCACATGCTCCACCGACCAAGCCAGTTAGGCATCCCTGGAGATATTTTTAAATAGGAGTATCTAATATTTGTACTATTAATACTACTAGTAGAAACTTAAGTTGGCAGTTAGCTTTTCGGAAATCAATTTGGCGATATATATGAAGTTCTAAAAAAAATTGGCTCAATTTCACTATTAAGAACTTAAATAATTTAAAAGTAAGATTATGAAGATATTAATTACATTTATATGATGGAAATAAAAATATGGAAATAACCTATGTGAACAATGGTAATGGAAAGTATAACCTTGTTACATTGTGTGTTATGATCTAAGAAACTTGAGGATAGAAATAATTTAAAAAGAAAGATTTTAAGAAAGTTAATCACATTTTGTATGATGGAGAAAAAAAATCTAAAAATAATCTAAACATGGAATGGAATGGATGAATATGTTAAATTATATGTTCGGGATTGACAAACTTGAAAATTTCTTCCCTTTCTGAACCAGACCCTAGTTTGATTCTTGATCTAGAAGAAGAAAGTGTTTGTAAATAATACATGCTTTATATATTCATAAAAGCATTCTGGAAGATATTCCTAAAACTACTGACACTGATTACTGGGGACAGGGAAGGGGGGTGGAGAGGAGGAAGTGATGAGAGACTTCCTTATGACTTTTTACCCTTTTGTATGGTTTGAATTTTTACATAGCCATATATTATTTTTGCAATGAAAAACATTACTAATTTTTTTCACTTTTTTTTTTGTGGTTGTATTAGTCTGCACAGGCTGCCATAGCAAAATACCACAAACTAAATGGCTCAAACGACAGAAATTTATTTTCTCAAAGTTCTGGTGGTAGGAAATCCAAGATCAAGGTGCCCACAGGTTTGGTTTTTGGCGAGACCTCTCTTCCTGACTTACAAACGGCCACCACCTGACTGTCCTCACATGGCCTTTCTTCTGTGCATAGGCCCTCCTGATATCTCTTCTTCTTATAAGGACGCTAATGCTATTGAATTAGGGCTCACCCTTATGACCTCATTTACCTTTAATTACTTCCTTATAGGCCCTATCTCCAAATATAGTCACACTGGGTGTTAGCCCTTCAACACATGAATCTGAGGAGACCTAATTTAATCCATAAAGAGTGGTTACACATATATAGCATGAAATTTACTATTTTAACCACTTTTGATTATACAGTTCTATGGCATTAAATACATTCATGTTGTGTGTGCAACAGTCACCAACATCAATCTCCAGAACTTTTTCATCTTTCCCAATTAAAACTCTGCCTGTTAACACTAATTCCCCATTCCCCCTTCTCCCAGTCCCTGGCAACCACCATTCCACTTTCTATCTCTGTAAATTTGACTACTCTTGGCACTTCATATAAATGAATCATACAGGGTTGTTCCTGGCTGGCTCAGTCAGAAGAACATGTGACTCTTGATCTCAGGGTTGTGAGTTCGAACCCCATGTAAGGTGTAGAGATTACTTAAATAAAACTTAAAATAAATGAATCATAAATGAATAAATGAATCATCACTTAAAATAAATGAAAATGTCCTTTTGTGACTGACTTCTTTCAGTTAGCATAATTAAGGTCATCCATGTTGTAGCATATAGCAGAATTTCCTCCCTTTTTAAGGCTGAATAATAATATTTCATCATATGTATATACCACATTTTGTTTATTCATTCATCCATTGATAAAAACTTGGGTTGCTTCTGGGCATCTGGGTGGCTCACTGAGTTGAGTGTCTGATTCTTAATTTTGGTCTCAATTTTGGTCTCAGGCTCATGGGATCAGGCCCCACATCGGAGTCTGTGCTGACTGTGGAACATGCTTGGGATTCTCTCTCTCTCTCTCTCTCTCTCTCTCTCTCTCTCTCTCTCTCTCTTTCCCCCCCTCCCCAAATGTCTCTCTCCCTTGCTTGTGCTTTCTCTCTCTCTCTCCCTAAAGAGACAAAGCAACAGCAACGACAACAACAAAACTTGGGTTGCTTCCACCTTTTGGCTTATTGTGAAACTGCTATGAACATGGAAGTACAAATATCTATTTAAGTCACCGCTTTCAATTCTTTTAGACATATACCCAGAAGCGAAATTGCTGGAGCATATGGTTATTCTATATTTAATATTTTGAGGAGCCATCATACTGTTTTCCACAGTAACTACACACTTTTACATTCCTACCAGCAGTGCATAAGGATTCGTTTCTCCACATCCTCACCAACACTTGTC